TTTCCTCCAATAAGGCCGTTTCTGAGATATCGAAGCTTGCCTCCAATTTTTTGAAGTTTGAGGACGATGTAGTGAAAGGGGAGCTCGAGGAAGATCAGGAGGAAGAAGAGGATGACATGATTGGAATTACCGATGAAGTGGTGGACTTCGTGAGAACTATATCCGAACGACCCCAGCTGTGGACTGATTTTCCTATCAGCTTACCTAAAGGTAATATCTATATTCTTCACTTCATTAATTTACCCAAGTTTGGTGAGCTGAAACTAATTCATCAATGTTTGGTTGTATATTACTGTGTAATTGCAGAAGTTATGACTTGGCTAAATTGTTTCAGTGGATTTTATATCCGTAGTAGTAATATATTTCCGCTTTATCCCGATCATAGATAAGTAAATGAGCAGTTGCTGGTATCAAAGAGATTTTTCGAGAAGCTGTATGATATTTGGGAAAATCTCTTGAGTGGAAGGGAGATGTATGCACGTTAGATTGTATGTATATGGTCTATGAAGCATATTTAGTCATAATCATTTGCTTGTCGTATGCAGGTATAGTGTACTTCAAATTGACATTGATGTTGTAGTTTGCTTAGTTAATGTGGTTTAAGTTGTCCTTCCGATTTCCAGGGAAGCATACATTAACTATGTTACCCAAGTCCCAAAAGTTTTTTTTTGCTGTTGCATACAAAGAGTTGTGATAATGTGATGTCAACTTTAATTTACTCTCTCGTGTCTAAAATATAAATTGATTCAACATTTTTCAGAATTAAACTACCCTTATCCTGTTATCCATGGTTATCTGTTTGGGTACTATATAATTGAAATCACCCATCTATGGTCCTAAAAGGGTGAATTAGTTTTAGACAGAAGCACTATGTCCTAAATATTTTTTCCTTTTCTTTTCTTTCCCAGTATTTGTTTAGCAGGGCCGGCCCAGAGCATGTGCTGGCAGTCCAACCGCACAGAGCCCAAAAAAAATTGAGGCCCAAAATTAGGGCCGGCCCAGGCTTACAATTCAGAACGGCCTTTCACCTCTTTGGAAGCCACTAAGGGTACAAGTAACCAATGTGGATGACCCAATGAGAGAAGTCATTTTTATAAAACAATAGGCCTCAGGATTCTTTTTCATGATCGGTGTGGGAAACCAATTAGTAGATGAAGACACAAAAACAACCTTCTAAGCAAGGCTACGGAGAAGTCTATGGAGTGTATTTCTTGGGATTTGCACGCCAGGCTTCCAATCATGAGCAAAGCCAAGGATGTTTGCTTCAAATAAAATTATTCTAAAAATGACAAATACGTAAGTATTATTATTTTTATGAGAAATAATTACAAAATTATGATTAAACTAAACAATATTTATAAAAAGTGTGAGTTTTTAAACGTGGTGATTTATAATAGTAAATTTAATCACATTAACTAATATTCATCTTTTAAAATTAAGTGATAGTGACATAATAATAACGTTTTTTAAAAATGTCTGTATAAAAATTGAAATAAAATATAGAAATTAAAACATCTTTTCAGTCTGACCATACCTAAGTAAACTTGCGCAGTTGCGCCCTTTTAAAAGTTTGTACTTATAATTCACATTGAAAATATGTTCAAACACCTCTTTTAAAATGAAGGGTACTTTGTGAATGGATATTTTATTTTGTCTGTATTGTTAATTAAAAATAACTTCAAATTTGATATAAAGTATTAAGAATTTATTACTAACATTACTAGAGTGTCCTAAAATCTTACATTACGAAACATCATAAGTATTAGTTAAGTATAGAGACTTAACTCTAAGTATTAGTTATCCCTATGCAAAGATTTAACTCTAACGGACAATAAATTACGAATTACTTTGTAAATTTTTTACGTTTAAATAAAAGGCCTAATTTTCATTGTTGCACAGGGCCCCTATTTTACCAGGACCGGCCCTGTTGTTTAGTATTAGAAACAAACACCTTTTGGGGATGGTTGCAGAATAAAATTACAACAATGTGAAGACATGCTACATATGCTCAAAGTGGCTTTGGCAAAGCAATGCTGAATTTTCCATTGCATTTTTTAAATTGCTTATTTATCTCGCTTGGCTAATTGTGTCTGAAACGGTTATATGTGAATTTACTGCAGACTTTCATATCTCTGATAACCAAAAGCAGCATGTGGAGAATATTGAGCAATTGGTTCCATGTCTTGGGTCCTTAAAGCAAAAACTTTCCAACCATTTAACTGATGGGCAGTTTTGGATGATTTATTTTATCCTATTGATTCCTAGGTTGGACGAAAATGATTTAGAGACCCTTTCAAGTCCTGAGGCAAGTCTCCACCCCTCGTCAAACACATAAATGCACATTTACATCCGTGCACATGTTTTTCTTCTTTTTTAATACCTCTTATGAGCAACTTGTTTTGGAATATTTCCAGAAAATGAATATTTTCCATCATAATAGGCTATCATGAGTAATATGGACTTTTGGAACAGCACTTATAAAGTTATAATTATTAAACAAATCCTCTGCAAGTATCTTATCTTAGGATAAGAACATGTTGTATGGGTATCTCAGATATATACAGAGTAGTAGTTATAGAAGTTTGTTCTATATCAGCATATGTACATCTCTTCTCTGAAGTTAGCAAATGACAGTAGCCACAACAATGTACTTCTTGTCCAGTGGCATGCAAACTTGTCTCCTGGATTCATTTATAATACTGACTATAACTATTGGTCTATCGTTCTTGAATGCTCTTCTAAAAGTCAGAGAGTTAAGGTGTTAAACGTAGAAGGAAAACATTATTTTTTTCAATGGCAGAAAAATGGAATCTAACAATGACAAGCAGTCCTGCATTGTCTAAGAAATAGTTGCTAGCGACAAGGATGAAGTATGTTTTGCTGTGTTGCTGCACTGCTGTCATTGTAATGCCCTATGCTTGTTCAGTTGTTCCAACTAAAATAATGAATATCTCATACAAAAAGTTCAAAGCATACCCCCGATTAGCAATTCTATCTATGTCTGGCATAGTTATAGAACCAGTTTCCTGATCTTTAGAGATTGTTCTTGAAACACACTGGCACTGTTAGTAAGCAACCTGTTGTATTAGATCACCTTAGCTAATTGCTCGCCTTAGACTGTTGGGCGTTAGGACCATTCTTTGCAACCAACGTACTTCATAGATTTAATCCTTCCTATCTTATTGACTATGCTGTATTCTGTACTGGATTGATTTAACCTCACAAGCCTTCTCTTGGATTGACTAAATGCTAATGATGTTATGCTCAAGCTCTCACCCACTTGTCTCTACGACTACCTCCTTTGAGAATGTGCATTGGTTGACTGTTGTGGTCTTTGATGCATTGAATCTGTTTTCTGTCTCAATAAAAGAAGAAATTATATGTAAATTAATGCTTTCCTCATTTAATTATTTTATCCACTCGACCTCTCATGCATCTTCTTATATTGCTCATGTGTTTACTGATTGCACCTGGTTTGGATATCAATTTATATTTCTTTGTAGCAGAACCTCTATTGGCTTCAGCACATTTCTAAACTATAATAAGATCTATTGCAAGGGGGTCAATTGATGAGGAAGTGAACACTGGCAGATTCTAATTTTGGTTGATTTTTTATTTTCTGCAGATTGTTGAAGCCAGGGAGATGCTTCTGCAGCAGCTTCGCAGTAAGAAAAATACAGATTCTGTGCCTACAAATGAACTTGAGACCGTGGAAAGACCTTCAGATGGGGAAAACCAACTGCCTAGTACAGATACTGCAGTTGAGCCTAGTAGTGCTGTGTTAGCCGTGGAAGCTATCACTCACCTAAATATGAAGCAGGGGAACAAAGATGATGCAGAAGATGTTTCATTTAGTGATCTAGAGGATGATGATGATGCTGCAGCTTCTGCAGATAAAGATTCCGGAACTATGGCTTCTCACAACAAGAAAGCTTCATCATCCAGCGAATCCCATGAATGGATTCAGTTAAACGAAAATTCTAAAGTTCGGACTGGTCAACAAACCACTGGTCAGTCCACTTCCCATGGGAAAGATAAGGAATCAGAAGGTGAAGAGTCGGGAGACTGGCTCACTGTTGATGATACTGATTTTGACAGTTTGGCAGCTGTTTAAGATGCATATATATACACGATATAAATGGATTTCGATTCATTCAACTATGGTGAACTGTCCACGCTCAGGTAAAATTTGTGGTAGAATAAAATTTTACATCACCTTTCATGGGTGAATGTTTTAAAGCGACATGATGTTGTCTTATTTCTATCCCAAATTTAGTAGTGGACACAGGGCCAGTATTGTAGAAATAGCCCTGCTTATATATACATCATGAAATTGTAGATTGCTTTTCCATGTGTTCATATTCTACTCGTCCAAAAAATGTCTTCATGTTTTACGATTTTTCAGACAATATTTGTCAATTTTGATTTATCTTAAACTCTAAAGCATGAAAAAATGAAAGGAGAAGTAATTCTAATGTGGTATATGATCGTCACATTCATTTGATCATTGTTGATGAGTTCCTATGATTCTGACTTCTTTATACAGGAGAGTTCACGCTCTATGCCATGCGGGTATAATTTTTGTAAGGAGATTGTAGGACCCAAAAGCCATTTGAAGTTCATGTTTATTAAGGAAAGCGAAACTGAAAGCAGTTGTATGTATGCCCTTTAGGTAAGGGTGGCCCGGTTCCTTTCGGACCGGCCTGGACCACCACTGTGCGGAACCGGACCGGCCCGGTGAACCAGGACCGGTTCCGTGCCTAGGACCGGCCTTGGGTGTTAGGGCGGGGTAGTTCCAGTCTGACCTTCCTTTGGAACCGGCCCGGTCTGGGCCTAATTTCTTTTGTTTTTTTCATTTTTTTGTGGTAGACCGGTTGGGCTGGGTGTTTCGGGGGTGGGCGGGTGAAGGGGGGTGGGGGGTGGGCGGGTGAGGGGGGGGTGGGGGGTGGGCGGGTGAGGGGGGTGGGGGGGTGGGCGGGTGAGGGGGGGGTGGGGGTGGGGGGTGAGGTGGGTTGGGGTTAATTAGAAAAGCAAAAAAAGAATTGACCCGGCCCGAGACTGGCCTGGATCGGCCCGGACCCGGTAGACTCCCGGGCCGGTTTTGAGCCTTAACCCACAAGAGAAAGCCCGGTTTGGACCGGTCCGGAGCCTGGTACCGATCCATGCCTACCTTTAGGTGCACATTGGGCATAAAGAACATGTTTCTAAACTCATCTTGCGGATCCATTTTTAATGGGCTCTAAAAACTGAATTAACTATATTAATTAGAAATAATTTCTAATATATGATTAAAATAGGCATAGTGGACAAAAGTAGAGTAGTATTTTCAGTGATTTTGATGATGTACAATTTGAATGTTGTATTGACCATAAAATTATATTTATACTAACTTTAGTCATATTTTTGTCTACAAGATAAAGTACATGTCCTTATGAACTCAACCATATTACTCCAACTTATGTACTAAATACATATATGGCACAGGAAAATTTGGTGAACATGGTTTGGGTGTACATGAATTGGAGTAATATGATTGATTTCTTATTTCTTTTGGAAGGAACTAAATTATATCATATGAGTGATTATTGGTATCTCATTATAATTATTTTAGGTGGAATTACCATATATAATATTATTGATCATTAATGTATTTTTTATCTGTCATAGATTGCAATTGCATAACTATGCGGGATTATACTGGAATATCAAAGTTACAAACCTTGTTATCTTATGTTATTTTTTGTAATAGATGAAATCGTGGATCATTAATATATCATTAATCTGGCTTAGATTGCATTTATTATGTGGGATTATGCGGAGATATCAAGCTTAGATTGCATTTATTGGGATCCTTGATGGTTCCATTGTTGCCCCTGTATCCTCCAGTCTTGATTATAGTTCATGGCTAAAAATTGATCAGACAGTTCGATCATGGTTGTTTGCAACCCTCTCCCGTAATATTTTAATTGAAAGTTCACACTGTCCGTTTTTCTGCCTTAATATGGGAACGGTTGGAAACACGCTTTATGGCCGCATGTGTAGCTAGAAGCATAGAGCTTAGGAGGCTTTTATCTGCTCTTAAGAAGAAAGATGATCAGTCCATGGATGATTACTTACGTGAAGTAATAGTTCTAATCGATTCACTTAATACTATTAACTCACCTGTAAGTAATCGGGAGCTCATTCAGTCCATGATTCAAGGCCTTGGCCCTGAGTATGAATCCGTCATTACCTCCGTTACTCTTTTCCCGGATAGCTTCACCTTTGATTCTCTTCGTCCGCAACTGATGGCGCTAGAACAACGCGCATTATATCTCTGTTCTCAGGATGCTGCTCCGGGACATCAGGCTTTCGCAGCCTATGATCAGGCTGCCGTTCGACCCCAGGGCCGAGGGGGTGGTCAAGCACGCGGCAATGGAGGTCGGGGCTATCGGGGTGGTGGCCGAGGACGTGGACACCGGGGACGTGGCCGCGGATACGGTGGTCAGCAGCAGGGAGGTGCTCCAGTTTATGCTCCGCCGGCTGGACAGTTTTTGCAGGGCAGCAAGGTGGACCAGTGACTGCTCCCTACCAGGTTCGTGGGCATGTTCCGGCTGGATTCCCAGGTACGGCATATGGTAATATTAGTGATGTTTATTCTAGTATTAAGGCTTTATCATCTTGTGGTACTCACCCATTTTTACAGGATTTCCATCTAATGAGAACCATTATCAGTCTCCTCCTCCACCAGTTGTATGTCAGATTTGCTTTTCCCCAGGTCACTCTGCTCTTGCTTGTTCTTGGATTGCTCATATGACCTCGAATGAAGGTATTTTATCTAGTAAACCTCCTTACACTAGCTCATTTTCTGCTCAAGTTGCAAATGGTAAAAATCTCCCAGTTTCACACATTGGCAATGTCACCTTAACTACTGCTACACGCCCGTTATTATTAAAATCAGTCTATCATGTTCCGCACATTAAATATAATTTGTTATCTATTCAGCGTTTGTGTGCGGATAATGATTGTTCTGTTATTTTTAATAAAAATTCTTTTTTGTTAAGGACCATCGAACGGGAGCCACACTCCTCCAAGCTTCCAATAAAGAATCTGTCTATCCCTTTAGAGCAGCTTATGAAACTACCCCATCTCTCGCTTTAAAAGCTGCACTTGTTCCTGGCCCGGTCTAAAGGGATAGAAGAGTAAATTCAAATGCAATCCAGAAGATTAGGCCCCGAAGGCCAATGACTGTACTCTTTTCCTTTACTAAGTTTTTCCGGCATGGTTTTGTTAGTTAAAGGTTTTTAACGAGGCAGTCAATACAACACATCATTTTACATATATTATGTACTCTTTTCCTTGATTGGTTTTTTCCCAAAGGGTTTTTCCAACAAGGTTTTTAACGAGGCATACACATAGTCGATAATTCATTCGAGAAATTAGCAACAGGATTGGATTGAATTGGATTCAACAAGAAGACCTGAAGTGGTGCAGTCAACAGGGGGAGTATACACGTTGCACTCTTTTCCCTTGACCAAGGTTTTTCCCACTGGGTTTTCCTCGGCAAGGTTTTTAACGAGGCAACATCATCAATGCGTGTAAAGAGAATAATGTATATTTTTCTTGTAATGTTTTTATTTAGCAATGTACATCCAAGGGGAAGTGTTATGTAATTATGGATGTCCATTAGTTCCTAGCATAGGCCCATATGTCTTGGCCCATATCATGTTGTACCCTAGCTCCCCTCCCCTTATATATACACATAATGTGAATGAATAAAGTACTTCCATTTGGACTCATCACAGAACCGGAAATCTGGTTTTTATTCGTATATTCATATTCTATAATTTAAAATCATAGTTCTCAAATCCAAATTACCAATCAAATCAAAATTATTTGTTTCATTTACGGCCTCTTATTTCGTACAATACTTTTGATTTCTTATAAATGGGTTTGATGTGTATATATAAATGTACAGCCATGATTACTTTTGAGGAAACGGTCCTGCCCAGCTAGTCGCCGACTCACTCTCCCTTACTCTCGGGTTCGAAACTCAATGAAGCGAGTTTCAGCTCTGATTACTCCACACCACCCCAAGCCCCTCCCCCAGACGCCCCCCCGGAGTAAAAAAAATGTAAATGTATATATGTGCTACACTTTGAAAGTATAACTAGTTTTTAAAAGTTATTATAGTTTTATTACTATTATTATTATTATTATTAATATTAGTATTATTATGTTATTCTAATTATTATTAATCAAATAGGAGTATATATGATTAATATTCGATCAAATATGCTCATATTCTTATTTGTATTTGACAACAATTCAAATCAAATTTGTACTTGATTTTTTTTCAAATTCAAATAGTCTTATACGATTTCGAATCCTGGACCAAGTATAAACTATTTGATTCATATACAACCCTAACTTTTACGAGGATCTACTATACGTATGGGCTATACTGGGTCGAAGCTCAAGGCAACTTTTTTTTTTAATTTATTGTGTAAATTGTTTCATTTTTCATATTTCGCCCCCCTCCTAATGTTTAAGTCCATTATAATTATTTTTCAGCCCAATCCAACGTAGATTTCTGGATCTGTCCCTGACTTGTACACTTCTTTTCAAAGTTTTGAGTATTTACATGAACACCTATGATCAATAAGAGCTCCCCCACCAAAACTATTTGTACGCGCCTTTTTACACACCTCAGTGAGGGGACTATTTTTTGAAGGTGTATTAAAAAAAGTATGCCCACCAAATGCTTTTACAAAGTCCTTTTATGCCTAGCAAATTAAAATAGGAGCAGTACCTTCCTTTCTGGAAGTAAACATGGGTAACCGTCAGTAACACTGTTACCTACATGATACATCGTTCTTTGTCCAAAACATAGACCATTATTTAGCACTAGTTTTCAAGCCTGTCCGAGATGCACACGTAGCACATAATTTCGATAATTATAAAATTGATTTTTTCGGAATCATATATGTAGTATAATTTAGAGCTCATTTGGTAGTCACATTTTTTGGATTATCAGGTTTATCAGTCAACTTTTTCATCAAACACGTAAATTTTAATTTCACGCGTTGAATTGTGTAATAATAAAAAAAGAACGTATGGTTAGGGTTACTTTTATGAATGTATTAGCTGAAGTTACTGTAGGAGATCATTTTATTTATGTATTATATATAATTTTCTTTATTTAATTAATAAATATATTTTAAATATAATTTTTACATAAATCAGCCAATACAGCCACTTCAGTCAAAACTTCATAAGTTTCAGCAGAATTAGCCGATTTTGATGTTACCAAACGGGTTCTTAATGCGAATCAAAAGCAAAATAAACTTGATCCGATATAAACCGTTTGATAATACTAAAATTAGTTGAATTGTCTGATTCTAATGTAATGAATTAAATCTAACTGATTAGACTGAATTGACGGAATCTCCTGAATTATGAAAAAATAAAATAAAAATTACTACGTATATCATTAATAAAATAAAATAAAAATCATATGAATTTTTTTAAACTGGACTTCTACATAAGCATCCCAGCTAATTAACCATAATTGTTATGAACCCGGTTATAAAAAATTCACACAAAAATTTCTTAATTTATCTCACATACTTTAAATTACTTTATTAAGCATCTCAAAACACTATTTTTTTTAATATTTCTCATTCAATATGGTATGAAATGAGTATTTTTAAATTTTAACATTTTAGTCATTATTTCGTCATATTGAAAATGTAAAAAATGGATCATTACTCAATGTAAAAAAGTTATTCTACCAAAATAAAATACTAAACTTTAGTATTATCAAACGACTTTATATTAGACCAAGAGTGTAAAATAACTTTGAATAACAATATTAATAGGAATTTGGTTGGTTTATCTGTTAGGTGGGCAAAATAATTAAATAAGGTGGATTATATCTCTTTTGTTTCCGAATGGCTATTAATATGTAGTATAAAATATCCAATATTAATAAGCATTATATTAATATCCAATAAAATACGTAGTGTTGAGGTTTATTCCCGAAGATCCGAAAGCCCAACACAAGCTTTGGATATTGTAGGGATATTGGGTTGGTTTGGAAAGTGTATAAAATATAAAACAGTGAGATATTATTCAACTCGGAGCCTACTTGTATTCAGTAATTCTGCGATTACACTGAAATTACCCGAACGGTAGGTAAGTACAAGAATACAAGAATAAGAGAAGTGTTTCTACTTGCTAAGCTCTGAGTATTGAAATGCTAATCCTTTACAATGTATTCAATGCAGGTATTTATACTAAAATGGGGATGGGAAAGCTGGACACGTGGCTGAATTTGGTAGGCTATGCCCCCTGCCACGTATGCACCCATGCCTCCACTTGCTGCCGCCATGCTTCAGCATTAAATGCAGTCTCCACTTGCTGACTACCCGTTCGGGTAGGGTGTTCGATATTGGGATATCTCGTCATTGTTATCCAGAGAGCCAATGTCCCGAACGCCGTTCAGTATGCGGCATCCCGTTCAGTAATGTGCCGAACGCCGAACGGGTCTGGACTGCTTTGGGCCTTCTGTCTCCTCCTGGTACCCTCATACATTGGGCCTGGGATATTGGGTCCCAACACGTAGTATCCAATATTCTCAAAAAGTACTATCCAAATTAATAAGTACTCCGTAATAAGTTCTCAAAAAGTTACCAAATAAGTTGGATTCTATATCTTTTGTTTCTGTATCAATATGCAATAAAAATAGAATGTAATAAAAATAAAAGGTATAAAAAGTTATTTAAATACTACATAATTATATATGATGACATGGCAGGATTACGTGGCGCGTCGTATGCTGTTAAAAAGTTCCTCTTATATATATATATATATATATTGATTACAGTTTCTCTTGATACTTTTTTATAAATTCATACTCCCTCAGTTCTTTAAGACTTTGTCAATTTTCCTTTTTTGGTTGTCTCATTAACTTTGCAACTTTCCCTTTTGAGTAAAGAATCTGTGGTTCCAGTTAATTCACTCTCCTCTGTACAAACCTCAATCACACAGTTTTTAATTTATTAATCCATGTGTCGGTCAAACTTGACAATGTTAACTGAGTGGATAAAAAAAGATGACACCTCATCCGTGAGGGCTCTTCAATACCAGCCAGACAGTTAACTGAGTGGATATAGATTTGATTTTAATTACTAGCTGACAGAGAGCGAGTGAGGCTCTGTCCCAAATACATGGAGAGCCATATGCTTTTCACACTTCGAATACTAGTAATTAATTAGTCATAACTGCATCCTGGTAACTGCCTTTCATGAGGCTCTCTCTACAACCCTGGCGATGTGCGGCTCCCGTCTGACTCCCTTCGCATGAGTTTGTACAACGACACAGAGGTAGAGCTTGAGATTGGATTCGCGGCTTCCATAGGGGTATGCACGAGGATCGACAATGCATATGAGTCTCCGCAACTCTGAAGTTTTTTTCTCGCTTTGTTAGTCCGGTTGAGTTTTTTCTAGCCGAGGGTTTAGTCCGTTCCAATTGTGAATGTGTTTGGGGTTTTTGTTCGTGAATTTATGCGATTCTTCATCTCTGTCTTGGATCCGGTGTTCATTTTGTTGGCCATTACTGGAGAGCTCAAATCAGGCTTGTGCAAGGACTTCAATTGAGGAGGTTGGTGGTGAGGGATAAAAAATGGCAAGGTGGTGGTGCTCCCGGAACAGCACCACCTAAAAGACTGTCAGGTCCCATAAGCGAGATGATTCCTTTAGAGGTGGTTGGTCAAACCTCTTCACCCTCCTCAGTGTCTTTTAAAGTCAAGATGCTTCCTTTGGAGATGGATGGACAAACCTCTTCTCCCTTCCTGGTGACTGGTAAAACCGGATTACTTGAGTTATTTTGTTGCTTTTATTCAAAGAATTCTTGTTTAGTTATCTTTCATTTTAGTAGCAAGTTCAGCAGTGCTGTTAGATTAGTCTACATCGTTGCAAGATTAGCGAATATGATCGGTCTTTGGGGGCTAATCGATTTTATGTCTAATCCTAGTGTAGCCTTGAGCTATTGTATTGCTTTACCTCCTGCTACTTTCATTAATAATAAATAAGTCTTTTTCTTTAAAAAAAAATAGTCATAATGGTTGGTCGCATTAACCATTTGTAAACACCTATAAAAGACAATTGTAATTCAAATGAACAATAAGTTATTTCTAGCAACTAAACCTCTTGAGCACTTTCCATTTTCGTACTTACTATTTCCTACTCGAGTGTTCTGTTGTAGCTTTCCCGAAAAGCCCGTCAACGTCCATTTTTGAACCAACAAATATGATTCTAAGTTGGCATACCTTTACTAAGTCGCACAACACCTAGACCGTCGCAAGATTCCCAAACTTCAACCATTCCAACTTACTATACTAATGCTCGTCCCGGAAAAATTCCGGATAAAACTGGCGGCTGCAAATTGCTTAAAGGTAGGGATGACAATTTAACCCGACCCAATGGATACCCGCATTGAACCAAACCAGTCAAAATGGGAAAAACAGTGTTGACAGGGTAACAGGTACGAGGCAGGGAATATCCGATTTATGTAAACGGGTAATTATGGGGCGGGTTCGGTTTTATGCTTAACCGACTCGTTACCCGCCCCGTAACCGCCCCGTTTAGTTTGGGTACGGTGACCCGCACCATTACCCGACCCATAATATCATGTTATATTTTTTAATACATTATATAATTGATATATTACGTAAATACTTCATATATTAGGTATATACCATATGATTTATAAAATATACTCCGTATGAAGTATC